TTTCCTCTGCATCATCGCCCTCAGTGTTCCCCCTCGGATTTTTAAATGACCGATTACTAAAACAAAAATTTATTAGATTCATTCCCATGATAAGACCAACAGGAACACTCAATCTACCATTAATATTTAGTACACTCTCAAGCTCTAGACTAAGATCTTAGCTGTGAAACCAGAAAGGTAACCAAAAGCTTCCAACATTTGCCACAAATATTTGCTCAATTTGGTCAAAAGCTTTTTCTCAATCTACATAAGTCAGACCAAATTCACAACTCAACCCAAAATATCAGAGCGTTAACAGTTATCAACCTGCCAAGAATACAGTATGCCTGATCAGTATTGATGACTTGCCATCACCTCTAAATCTAGAGGCCAGCACCTTAGGTAGGCTATGTTAACATTAGCTGCTGAAATTGCCCAACCCAGTTCTTTTTCCTCCAAGAAACTCATATCTGATCTTGTCCCGGGTGTGTCAACAAACCAAATCATTGTTTTTCATATCAAATCTGAGCTACTTGCGTGTGTGGTCCTAAATCTGATTCAAATCTGATCTCTGACTATAAGGGCAGAGACACATCAAGCCGACGTGAAAGAACTAGCATCAATGAAGGCCAACTATTGCGTCACCTCACGTCGGCTTTGTCTGGACCAACCGGGTTGAAAAAGTGACATTTGAACACACCACACAGACTACAGCTAACGGCCGACTAGCAAGTACGTTCTGTGCCTATGTGTCACACTCCCCCTACTAGCAGATGGCAGTAACTATTTGCCATTCAGAAAAAAAAAGGAGGGGAGCTAGAATGTGGAAGTATAACCTATAAACAAAACACTTAATTCAACAGAGCTCAGGTTTATGGCTCTTTCTAATCAAGGATATGTCTGATAAGAAGTTGCAAATGACACTGCCATTCTATGCCCTTGGTCTTTTGGTTGTGGAAGAAGGAAGGAGGTCGAGGAGGTGAAAAACAAGGAGAAACTACACTAAATGGGTGAAATCATGATGCTACAGTGACAGGGTGAAGGGCTTTTCCTGAAATGTTCTCTTCTCATGCATTGATTTGCTAAGCTCAACAGCCAATCAGAGTGGTCTCTCTCTCTCACTGACCCAATAAGCTGACATCAATTCAACATTTCAAATTGGCCAAAAAGCCACCGTTAGGGGCTGACTAGTGCCAACAGTGCGGGACACACCAGGAAGAAGAGCCCTGACAATCACCAACAGTGGCTGACAGCTTGGTGCGTCTCTGCCCTAAGATGGCTGCCAGAACAGTCAGATCAGAATCTCTGTGTGTGTTTTTGTTTAGGGGCTCACTCCTTTGCGCATCTGCACAGTGTCTATTGTCATTTGGCATCGTCCCCTCACAGACTGGTCAAAATAAATATGGATAAGAGCAGCAATGTTCACATTTATAGAGCTGCTTCTGATCAAGTCCTCTTTGCACATATTTTTCCTGACTTGTGAGTTAGCTGCCCAGTGCTTTCTGTGTCTGTGCCTTGAACCAGCTCCAAAACTGCGCCAGACCTTTAACTGTTACTGACCTTTGCTCCCAGCAGAAGTTTTCTGATCCTCATAAAGGAGTACCCACTCTTGTCAATCACACCGTCTTCTTCATCATAAAACAAACTCTGCCACTGTTGTTGCGGTTGTTTAATCTATTCTCCAAAATCGTCCTGCTGACTACAAACTCTCTGGTGTACCATTTTGTTGCTGGTTTTATTAGTGTTCTCTTTCATCCCCGTCTTCTTCCTGCGTCTCTCTCAGTAATGCAGGCCTACTGTCAGCCCTGACAGGTGACGTCACTACTGCAGACACAGCTGACCAGCTCTCACCTAATCTCTTTCTGGGCAGGAACAAATCAAGTGTCAGTCTGTTTCACACCCACAACACTTTCTTTTCAGAGATGACATTACCAGTGTAATCGAAGTCATCAATTTTGAACTTAAAACCCAGATTCGGTGGCTCATCCTTCTTCAGAAACAAGTACACACATCTCTGAAGAGGCATCAGCTCAAGGTGAGGAGACTCTTTTAATCATTTTTATCGAGGACATTAACTGTCAGTGTTGAGCCAGTTCCTTTTCACATTTCTGTCAGCTTGTGTCAGTTTGTCCATGACCGAGCCCCCCCCCCGCATCCCCTCTCCCCAGCCACAGAAATGGATGATGCTCCCAAAACAGATTACTTTACTAAAAACATCCACAGAAACAAAGTAAAAAAAAAAAAAAAGAGAGCGAAAAGTAAAAAAAAAAAAGAAAAAGCAAAACAAAACAAAAAAAGCTGACAAATGCTCTCAGCAGTGCTCACTCCCAGCATGCACCCCAAGAGCAAGAGAGTCAGCAAGAAAAAGTGAGAGCCCATGGGCACAATGAAAACACCTCATACACAAACAGCCTCAGCTCTTCTTGCAACAATCTGACGTATTGTTAGGGATGACAAGAGACTGCACCGTAAAGGTAAAGAAAATTGTCGACCTTGTGAAGGTTTTGCCCAGAAAACTGAAAGAAGAGAAATGAAGAGCAGAAAGAAAAAGTGAGAGAACAAAGAGAACCAAAGCTGATGTTAGCACTGAGAAGTGAGAAAAGCTCAGGCTAGCTAGCCTACACATCCCAAATGTGATGATCCCTCTGTTTACATGTTTGCTTCATATGAAAGTTAATAACTAAATGGAAGGGAAGGTGTTTTCACATCCAAAACAGTAAATGAATATTTTTGTCAACACACAATGACTTGATCCTACCAACATCTAATGCATTTCTATTCCTGATATATTTACTGCACTGTTGTTACACAATATCATTTAGCCGCCCCACCGGGCTGGGTGACATATACACATACATATACACATACATATACACATTTTTACATTTTATTTCAAAAATCAGCTTTCAAAGTCATTTAAAATTAGGGAGTATTCTTAGCTCTGAAATGCTGGAGATTGTGTTAGGTGAAGACACTGCAACCATGCCCAATCGTGGAAATGTGCTGATGGTTATCATCATGGATGTATTAAGGGAGGACATGCAGGAAAGATACATTGCGGGGAGAAGGCATAGCTAGCTAGCTAGCAAACTAGGCTGCAGTAGGTGCAGTAACTCATGATCAAACACAAGAACTGGTGCTAATGCACTAAGGCTCTACAGGAGCATTTTATCAAAGACAACTGAGTACAGTTAGAAATATGGTTTTGGTTATAGAGCAGCTTCTCCTTTGCGTTGATGTCTGAATGAGAGTGGACAGTGCTCAGTCTCACTCACACACACAAAGAAGACAACCAGTGTTGCAGGAGTGGAGAGGGAGCCCACGAGAAGTGAAAATGAAACTAAAGTTTAAAACATCATCTTGTTCATGTTCGTGAAATAAAACCTTTGCGAGGAACAAGCCAATGTGAGTAAATTAACAAAACACCTACTAAACAAGCATAAACTTGCAGCAAAGTGAAAATGTAAGCTTTGTCTGCAGTCTATGAACATGTTATGCTAACAACAAACATCTGCAGTGATGTGTCCAGTACAGCAGCTGCATGGGCTGCTGCGTGGCCATCATCTCCCTTGTGTCTCTCTTCCTCCACCAATTACAGTCGGTTCAGACCTGCTCCAACACATTCACCGTTCATGAGTACCTTTGTCATTTTATTAAAACTGAGGCAGTAGCATTAATGTTATTTATTTAAAAAAAACATAACCGTTACCATAAACTTTCATCTGTGCTGAGTCTCACAGTGCCCCTAAAAGCAAATGTAAGCATAGAGCTCTGTGTGCCCAAGTATTTATAACATTACAGTATTGGGGGGGAGGAGTTATGTTAACATTAGCTCCAGTACGTCATTGAGCCACGTTTTCTGCCCCGACTGAAAAAATGTGAACTAAAAAATGATGAATAACTGATTAATGGTCTAACGCCACAATTCAGCACTATATAGTTCTCATTCTTTAAGGTTTTCAGCAAATGTTTTCCTAACATGTATAATGTGTTTAGAAACAAATTACAGATTTTGCTTTACATCTTCAGTAAGGGCGAATGGGCTTTGGGCTGAATGCCACAGACAGGTCAGGTGCATTGTTGAATCTGGTTTGGTCTTTTTCATCTGATTTGTTAACCAAAAAAATACAGAACAGCAGTAGCCTTACCCTTTAAAGCACAACTATTTAGCCTTTAACACCGTCTTTCCTAATTATACTACTGTTCAGTTTGCTTCAACATTTTACACAACTGCTACTTGTTGACAATGGCTGATATTGAGCAAATACTACAGTCTCCCTTTAAAAAGAAAAGACGAGTGTCACCGGTCAAAACTATCTGAAAACTGGACCAATAAAATGTCTTCGTACCGGAACATAATGGGCAACACCACCCCAACAATCAGTTCTTACTATCAAAAATACACCAAAAGAGACAAGACAATTTGGTGTACTAAGCCTTAATAGAAACAAGCCATTTTACAGTGGCTTTACAAAACTTTTCACAGTCAGAAAAAACGGTACTTATGGCAAGAGCAGCCACCGTTTGTTCCTGGAAAAAAAATTGTTTGAATCGATTATGATAATGTTGACAGTTATTTAAAAACAGGCTGCCATTTCCAGCAGATAGACAAGAAGATGAATAAAGAAGGTGGTGAATGTCACCTTTCACCTGACCTGCAAAACTAATCTGACGGTTTTAGCTCCTCTATAAAACAATGGCACTGACCCTTACATCCGTCTGTCTTGTCCATGCTGTTTGCTTCACTAAGCTCTGTCATCACTGCCCACCTCTTTGACTCATTTCCGTTTCCATATGTGCATTTTATATGTGGAACTGAAAATATCACACTTCCACTTAGTGGTTAATGGGGCCAAATGCCAGGCATTGAATCTTATAAGAAAGAAGTGTTAACAGCTGTTGAGGAAGTTTTACTTGTTTCACCTGGCAGCTGACATGTGCCGAGTTGCCTGTCTACACTAGAACTTCAGTCAACACAACAACCAACCATGCACAGTGACTACATATAAAGTTGCTCCTACTTGGTCTTCTTGGGGGTCTTGGACTTGGGTGTTGAGTTCTTGGCCTTCTTCTCCTTGGGTTCTTTGGGGGTCTTGGGTATTTTGGATGTCCTTGGGGGCTTGGGCTCTTTGGGCTCCTTGCCCTCTGTCTTCTCCTTTGGTTTCTTTTTCCTCTTTTTCTTCTCCTCCACTGGTGGTGAACCTCCCTCTAGAATTCTTGTGCTAAGAAGCTGTTCACCTGCATCATTTCCTGATCCAGGAAATTCTGACTCTATATCTTCCTCTGCTCCTCCTCCTCCTATTGCTGCCTTCTTCCCTCCCTGTTCTTTTTCTCCATCCAGTGCTTTTGCTTTCTTCTTCTTCTTCTTCTTTTTTGGTTTGGTCTCCTGGTTGTTGGGCTGCTCTGTGCTGATAAACTGGCTGGGTGCACCGGCACCAACTGCTGGCCTGTCAGGAACCATCACTGAGGCATCACTTGATGGGTCCGTAGGGGAATGCTAGGGAGAAGGTTGTGAAAAGATACAAGTTAATCTGCGTTATTCAGCAACTTTGAATCACACTAAAAGATATTCTATTTTATAAAGGAGTACAATATCATAACAATTAACAAAAAACAAGTCACTTTTAACAGTCAAGTGTATTAGGCCACCTGGTCAGCAAAAGTGTGAAACATTCGCTGGGTCTGGCTTCATAAATGTGAAAGTTTGCTCTATTATTTAAATAATTATAAAGTGAATATGGCATTTTATTTGGTAAACCTAGGTAAAACGAATGCAGTCAAGTAATAAAGCCCCTATTCATGATGGTGATGCAGCTTTTATCCAGTTTTACAGACATGTTGATTCAAACATATATGATCATTGTGGAGGCTGTAGTTTGTGCTGCTGTTGAATCGTAGAATTAGCCTCATTAATATAAATGGGGTGGACAAAATAAACACCTGTCAGAGAAACTCTACAATTCAGTATCAACACATCTTCAAAAACAATCAATCATACAGCACAATCAATATCTCCAAACATGGATTTATTGTGGGACTACTGTAGTAGACTATTAGTGTTAGCTGGGTGGACCTAAAAAATGCCAAATGAGGGTGTTTAAGTTTTGGACAATTGGTCAGATTAACAAATATTGTTTTAGTATTTGTCTTTTAATAATCTGCATCATTTTTGCTTAAAATGATTTAAAGTATTAATCAGAATGATCTCCAATTAATTTTCTCTACTGAATGATCAATCGATCATTTCAGCTCCAAAGTAAATCGCATCAAATGTGGATTAGCCTGCGCACGTGCCGTGAAGCACACTTATGTTTTACTTCAACACTGACGAAGCCATGCCGGCCTGTCAATCAACATGGCCAAATTTTCCACAGCGTGGGGGTTGAGTTAGTTGGTAATGGTGGACTGAAGCGCAGAGGGGGAATAGAAGATCCATCCAACCATGCACATGGCTGCCACCCTCCTCCCTCTCCAACACTCCCTGTTGCTACAGGTTCCTCCCCCTCTTGCCTCCTCCTCCTCCAGCAGGCTAACCCTGGTAAACAAAGTGGCTGACACCTCATTTTTCCTCCTCCTTTGCTCTCCTGCAGTTAAATCTTCTCTCCTTTCTCCTACCCCCTCCACCACGTCCTCCTCACTCCCAAGTAAGCTTTCTGTGACAGGAAACTGGTTACCAGCTGTTAAGAGCCTCTCCAGCTGTCTCTCCTCCCTCTCTCCCTCTCTTCCATCCCTCCCTCCCTCCCCTTTCCTCTCTCTCCAGCTGCTCAGGGTCCCAGTAGCAGATGGGAAATCGGGCATCATGACACGAATAAATTATCTCCATACTTCAAAAGGCGCAGCAAGGGAGTATGTGTGTGTGAGTCATACGAGAGCGCTAGAGACTATGCCTTTCAGTGTGCAATGCACATGTGCGCTAATGTGTGCCGATGAGTGTGTGTGTGTGTGTGTGTGTGTGTGTGTGTGTGTGTGTGTGTGTGTGAGCGCATCAGCAAGTTTAGAGCAAAATGCCACGGCAGCAGCTCCCCTCTGAGTACACACACTTAGCTTGGTTGTGTTCACACAGAGGAGGAAAGAGTTGTGATGCTGTAACTGAAAGTCCACTTCCAACAAGAGAATGCTAATGTACACACACATTTCACAACAAACTACTGCAAGGTCACACATCACACAAACCTCTGCACACAAACAACCGCTGACACACGTAAACCGAGCCATTTAGACACAAATAGGGAAGGCGGGACGGCTAAGGGAGGGAGAGGGGGTGGGGGAATATGGTGCCAAGAGATAAATCTGTCCTCCTGTCAAGCTTTCCAGATAATCAATCATTCGAATGACAATGGAGACACACACAGTGTAAATACAAACAGAACACACACATCCAAGCCGGTGTTCTGCATCAGGGTTGGTGCGCTGTGAGAGCAGGGTGAGGAGATGATCAGGGTCAAGTTTCATCACTCAGAGGACAAGATGTAGGATGGAGGAAAGACTGAGGAGGAAGGTGAGTGAGGAGGAAGGTGAGTGAGGAGGGGTGAAGAAACTGAGGTAGGAGGGACAGCTGGAAGAAGAGTGAAGGGTTAAATCTATCAGGCACAAACATGCGAGACTCCCTGAGGATGGAATGAAAGGAAATCCCGTTGTCATTGCTGAGCTCCTACGGTCGCTCTGTTCATCCGTCCATACTTTCATCCCTCCATCTCAACAACCTCCGCCTATCCAACCCTGCCAGCTGTTAACGATGTCCCTCCATTCAGTAGGTTATGGTGTGGTTATCTTATTGAAAGGAAGGCGCATTCAAGACGATCAGACCTGTTTACTTTGGCTTCAGCTCTGGGCTCCATTTGTTTTGGCACTTCTACTGCATAAATACTGTGGTGTGAGACTGACTCTTATCAAATCAGAACCATAATTTGTTATTCTCTTGGTCAGAGAGGACATCTACTGCCATGAAGGAGTTAAAAGTTAAGTCATTAAAATACTGCTTCCTGCATGAAATTTTGCTGTATCACTACTGTCCCATGTGAAGGCTGACTGCACCTCTGAGGACTACCTTTGATCCGTCATATAACAAACGTACATGCTGACCAACAGACCGTGAACTGGTAAAGGAGCCCAAGGCATCCAAACTCCACTTTCAAAAGTCCATGACCTAAATTAAAAAGCATGTTTCTTTGCAAACCCCGGATTCTAATTAATTTGGGGCCAATTCAGAACTCATGATACCTAACCAAGGGTTGGAATATGAAACCGGATACAGCTATGGTGGGATTCATAACAAGCCCACAGTAGCTTATTAGCACAAGGACAAACATTTCACAACTGCTACATGTCCACATCTTTTTTCTCTATTTGCTTTGTTTAATTTTTCTAGAAATTGGTTCTCTTAGCCTATGTTTTTTAAAACACACTAAAAATATGTTTAGTGCTTTACTTTGATTCTTATAATTACAGTCAGGGATAAAAATTATTTGAACCCCAGCTGATTTTGTAAGTTTGCCCGATAAAGAAATGATCAGTCTACAATGTGAATGGTAGGTTTATTTGAACAGTGAGAGACACAACAATAACAAAAAAAAAATCCAGAAAAATGCATTACAAAAAAAGTTATAGATTAATTTGCATTTTCATGAATGAAATAAGTATACTGCTCAAAAAAAATAAAGGGAACACAACATAAGACATAGATGCTAGATCTGAATGAATGCAATATTCTTATTAAATACCTTGTTCATTACATAGTTGAATGTCTTCTTTTCCCTTGTGTTCCCTTTATTTTTTGAGCAGTGTATTTGATCCCCTATCAGTCAGCAAGATCTCTGGCTCCCAGGTGTATTTTATACAGGTAACGAGCTGACATTGGAGCCCTCTCAGCTCGTTACCTGTATAAAAGAGACCTGTCCACAGAAGCAATCAATCAATCCAGATTCCAAACTCTTCACCATGGCCAAGACCAAAGAGCTTTCCAAGGATGTCAGGGACAAGATTGTGGACCTACACAAGGCTGGAATGGGCTACAAGACCATCGCCAAGCAGCTGGGTGAGAA